TATTATTAATAAGAGCTTCTGTGATATTTTCAATACTACATGCTTGTTTGGCAGCCTCATCTACTATTTCATTTCCTACAATACCTGAGTGACCTTTAACCCAAATATTTTTATGTTTTTATTTTGGCATCTTTAATTGATTCTTTAATTCTAAATATGATTTTATTGTTATAATGTTTCAATGGGCATCCTTGTAGAGCTTTTAGTACCGATTTAGAGTCAGATAATATTATAGCTTTCTGATTTGAATTGTTTTTAACACATTCTAGTGTTTTTTTGTACTGCTAAAGCTTCCGCCGTAAATATTAAAGATATGTCTGAAATACGGTATTTTTCAATATGATTTGTGGTTGAAACAAAAATTCCGAAACCAGTTCCGATTTTACTTTTGAATCCATCTGTGTATATATCTACATTATAGTCTATGAATCTGTTTAATATTCCTTTCAAGATGGCATTATTCAAAGAGGGTATTTCGGAGTATGTAGGAAATATGATGTCGGGTTTAACAATTATTGTTTCAAATGTATTAAGAAATATCGGGTATTGTTCGTATTTAGTTATATGATTTTCGAGATCACTGGTTTCAACAAAGGCTTCAGCTAGAGGTGGCGCGTTTTTTTTCTTCCAATATCTATTTGTAAGGTTTTCTATAGCAATAGCTGAGATTTGATTTGTTATGAACGTATTATATGATCTATATTTGACTACTGCTTTATTCGAAAAGTATTGTCTGCGAAATGCTAACGGAGGCTCTTGTGACTCAGCTAGAATTGCATGATTCGGTGATGACTTCATTGCACCTAAGCATATTCTTAAGGCCTTGTATTGTATGCGATCCAATACTAACAAGTTAGTATAATCGAAAAGAGAACGAATGTAGGACCTATAGAACATAATGGATAAGTTACGATCAACTCCATATGTTTGCTTTCATACAACCTTTAGAAGATTTATACCTTTCTCATATTTTGATCTTAAGTATTGTATATGTTTGGGCCATAATAGTTTTTCATCTAAGAAAATACCTAAATATTTGTAATGTTCGACAACAGGAATAGTATATTCACCAATAGTAATATTATCTGGAAATCTCTTTCTTTGTCTTGAAAAGCACATAATGGCAGATTTATTTGGTGACATACTAAAACCTAATTCGAATAACCAATTTTTAAGGCAATATAGTATATATTGCAAATCTCTGTAGCATTCTCCATATGTTTTATGGGAGACATATAAGCAGATATCGTCGGCGTATTGGATAATATTAATATTGTCATCAAATAAACCATGTAATTCGGCTATGTATATGTTGAAAAGTAACGGACTTAAAATAGAGCCTTGTAGGAGACCATTATAGACTAAACGTGGACCATGTAATACGTTATTATGATCTCTTATGAACAAGTTTAAAATATTAACTGAAACCTTTTTGTTTATACCAATATTAAGCATTTTTGTGTAAAGTATGTTTAAATCCACAACATCATAGGCTCCTTTTAAATCGATAAAAAGACACATTAAGTAATCGTTTTTAGCAAAACATCTCTGTGTATCTGTCACTAAATGAGAGACTGCATCTAGTGTTCCTTTCCCTCTTCGAAAGCCATATTGAAAGGTCGGTAGCAATAATTTGCTCTCTAAGAAGTGTTCTAATCCTAACTTGATTAAGCGTTCAAATGTTTTTGTTAGGCACGATATTAATGCTATAGGACGGTATGATGAAGGTAGGTCAGGATTTTTCTGCGGTTTTAGTATGGGACAAATTATGATATTTTTAAATTTTTCTGTGTATTCTTGTTTCATCCACCAATTGTTAAAGATTGTTAATAGTGCGAGTTTAGCTATGGGTGGTAAACTACACAATTTTATAGGTAAACCCATATAGCCCGGGTGCTGTATTTCGTGTATTTTTCAAAATCAAATCCAATTCAGAGTAGCTAAAAGATTTCAACAAATAATCTGACTCAGAGTGAAATATAAATTGGGGACCAAAGAGGTTTCCAGGGACAGATGGAGGGGCTAAAATATCGGATAGTTTTTTTATTAACTCGTTTAGGATTTGAGTTTTTTTGGATGTGTGAGATTTTTTATTTATTGACTTCATAAATCGCCATATAGCTGATATTGGTGTGTTTTTTATTTTGTTTCTAAACGAAATCCAACTGGATTTTTGTTTTTGTTTAAATAGCCGTTTCGTATTTGCAGCTATACTTTGGTAATGCAGATAGTTTACATAATTTAATTGTTTTTTATATTCATGTAATGCTTGTCTTCGAATTAAAGTCATATTTAAGCATTCTTCATCCCACCAAATGGCCTATAAGTAGTGGGTTTAAATGGTTTTTTAGTGAGCATAGAGTTTGTTGCAGCAGAATTAATAGTATCGAAGATGAACTCGATTTTCTCACAATCATTTAGGGAATGAAAAGAAGGCAGATTTTCAAATGAAGATATAATAGTTGTTTGGAAACTGGGCCAGTCGGCTTTTTAATCATTCCATTTAGTAGAAGGGTTTATTTGAAAGGATGATGGATTTATTTGAAGTTCGATATAAACTGGAAAATGATCTGAACCCAATGTGTCTGGTAGTACCTTCCAATTGAATAATTCTGCATAACGAGGAGCAGTTTGCCGTTTGTGTGCCGCTTGGGGAAATTCTAGTTGGGGTGCCGTCATTTAATGTAACTAAATCAAGGTTATCTAATGCATTATAGAGAATCTTATTATTTGGATCTTCCGCAATTGGGCTCCAAGAGGGGTGATGTGCATTATAATCTTCACAAAAATTGTTTCATTAGTGAATTGTTCGAACAATTTTTCCCAGTCTTGCTGAGTGACTTTGACATCTGGAGGTTTGTATATAGAAAGTATTGTTAAGTTTGCACAGTTAATATCTATTGCACATGCTTCGATTCCTTTATTTAATGTTTTATTTATTGTTCGTTCTTCATAATCTATACCTTGAACAACAAATACCCCCGTAACCATCATTTCTACAACTCTGTATAAAGTTATATCCTTTTATAAAAAAATTAGAATTGGGTTTGAGCCATATTTCTGATACAACAATTATATCATAAGAGTTTTGTTCAATAAAATTCAAAAGACTGGATTTATTAGCGTTAATTGAATGACAATTCCACTGTAATATATTCAATTTATTGTTAGTGTGATAGGTCATCGTCATCACTTGGTATTATATTATAATCACTTACACTACTATTGTTGATGTTTTAATCCATTTGATAGAAAAGTTCACTAATGTAGTCTTTTATATGTTCATTATTTAAAGGTTTAGTGTTTTTATCGCTTCAATAATAAAACTGGAAATATTCATTATTAGTTTTTCTTTAAATAACATGAATTCATCTCTGTGAGGATTTGGGAGGATTGAAGAGGGAGTGCGAGCTATTTTTCTTTTTTTCTTGAGAAGTGGATGGCAAGGGAGACTCGGACTTCCTTCGTTTGCTAGGTTGGGAGGGTGAGGGTCGGATATTTGGTTTATATTTAGGTTTAGATACTATGTTCACATTAGTTGCTGTTTGGTTTAGTGGAGAAGGTTTAGGGAAGTTTTTTAGATTATTTAAAATTGCAAAACGGTTTTTCGTAGATATTTTTGCGTATGATGGGTTGTTATAAATCATTTCTGCGTCTTTGAAAGAGACGTTTTCAAAAGCCATCATTTCTTTGATTTTATATTGTTTTTTGTAATGGGGAAATTCTCTTGAAATGGAGGAGTGTTCGGAGTTACTACAATGAATACAATAATTTTTTGTTGTACAAGGGACACTGTCATCGTGTTCTTGTGAGCATTTACCGCACCGTGTTTTACCTTTGCACTGAGTTTTAACATGACCATAGCGTAAACAATTCAAACATTGCACTACTGGGTGTATATACGGTTCCACTGGAAAATTGACCATATTAATTTTTATGCAATCTGGGATTCTATTACCAACAAAAGTTACAACTACCATCTGCCTATTTACATAAACTACCGATTTGTTTTCATCTACGACTCGACTCTGCGCTTTAATCTCCTAACCTCCGTCACTGGCACATTTCAAACAATAGCGTGTTTAATAAATTCTTTCGTGAAAAATGTAACCGTTCGTATAATACCTTTTTTATGATTAAAAATTTTTGGAATAAATGCGATCAGATCATTATTTTTAACTAAATAATTTGCGACTTTGTAAGATTTAAAAATGACTTTAACTCTCTTTAGACCTACTGATTTAATGTCTATGATATCGGTTTGTAATTCTTTATCTTGTTGCAGATAAAGGCCTATTTTGATTGGAAATAGTCTTCTCAAATTTTTATCTTTATGTTCTAAAAAAACGTTGAATGGACCGATATCATTAAGTTGGTATTTATTATTTAGAGCATAATAATTCATTATCTTGAGTTGTCTCCAGAATATCTATATTATTATTATTTTCCAGTAAGGGCGGCCCGGGACCGCCCCTGTCCTGTGCCATTATTTATTTACTTAATTTACTACTTACCGAATTTTATAAATTTTTTAATAAAATAAAGTGAAATACACAAAAACCTGTTTGGATTTAATCTATATATCACACACTGTTCAAAAACACTCTGTCCCGAGCTGAGATTCGAAACCACCTTTTCGTGTTTTACCCACACCGCTTTCACGAATTCGATTATCAGGAATTTAGATGTCCAGATTTTGAGTTTTTAAATTGACTATAAGATTCTAATATTTCTCAACAAACTACTAACATCATTGTCTAGAAAAACATGTCAATGCATGCTGACCCTCCCCTAGGTCGTCTGTGTATAATATTAATAGATATCTACTACATTTAGTACAACTTTAGCAACCTGTCATATATTTCGTCCTCTTTTCATTTAGTTCGCCGCGCTTTGCTCTTATCTCGCAGTTCAGAACTCTTAGTTTAAAAATAAAAATTTCAAAAATGCTAGTAAAAATTATGATACATATTTAAACTTAACTATAAAAATAATATTTCAGATCAAAATGGTATTATACAAGGAGAATTTGGATTTATCACGGCAGATGGAGTTTATCACGTGACTGTCTACGCTACCGACGAAAACGGAAACTTCAAAATTTTGAGTATGAAAAATATAAGAATAAGTGCTCGTAAGTATAGTAGTTTGTTTACATATCCTTAAATCCCAAAAAAATGAGATAATCAAATGGATTGTTATCACGCTTCCAAAAAAAAAAAGCAAAAACAATAGAGATCAGTATACGCTGAGATTGGTTTTTAATCTAGTAATACTAAAGCTACAACTTCTTGTGAAAGTCGGTTCTTGAAAACCATAGAAATTACCATACCAATATCATCTTAAGAACAGATAGAATGCGAATCATTATTATTATTATTATGTTTTAGCTCTTGATGGTTCGCCAGCACTTGGTCCAATTTCACCTGAAGCTTCTAAGTACCTTAAGAAATCAAATCAAATAGAAACTACGCCATCTAAATCATCACCGCCAGCACCACCACAACAACAATTCCAGAAAATTCAGCAAGCACCAGTTCAAGCAGTTACACAAAAATCAACCACTCAATATGCTTTTACTACTCACAGTACCATCAGACCAGCTTGCGCAGGTTGTGGTTTAATTACTCCTCCTCCACCAGGGCAAAAATTTATGTTCCAAAATCCTGCGTTTAACAAACCAGTTGCAAGTCCTATAGGCATAGCACAATTGGAATCAGGTAAAGTATAATATAGTTTTATATAATTAATTTAAGATGATTAATTTAATTATAAGAGTATTATTAAAATAGACCAGATACAATCCCACAATTAAAAAAACCAAATACAGGGTGTCATTGAAATAGTGTAAAAAAATTCGGGAGGTGATAGTACTCCTAAAACTAGTAAAAAAAGTTCCTATAACTATGGGTCGTTAAATACACATTAAAGGATTTAGGGGCGTCAAAAGGACAAACTTGGAAAGTGGTTTTTTTGAAATTGTAAGCTTAAAAAACACGATAAAACTTCAAAAAATGTTGACATAAAATTTACTGCTGAAACTAATGGTAATATCGAAAAATTACTCATTTAATCAGATAGGGTAGTTCTTGCAAGGATAAGGGGTCGATTTATGATTAACTTTTTAGGAGTTGATTTTTTTACAACGTGGGTCTATTTTTTAAAAACAACTACCTTTTTTCCATAAAAAAGTTACTATTATTGCAAGTCGCTTAAAGCAACCGTTTTCGAAAAAATTGAAGGCAAAGAGTTTGGTAAACCTGTAGTTGAAAAACGAAAAGTATTTTTTTATGGGTATCTCACAAATTATTAAACATAAATTTATGAAAATTGTGACGTGTCAAACTAATCAACCTCCCAAAAAACTCATAAACACTAAAGAAAAACAATATTTTCAAGTAATGTCGAAAAAATTTTATTATGAAAAATTATTTTTTGTCACAGAGGCAGATTATGTATTTTATGTACGATGGTGCACCACCTCATTTTCCACTAGCCGTGAGAAATCATTTAAATCAAGTTTTCAAGAAGCGTTGGATAGGACGTGGTGGTCCACAAGCTTGGCCAGCCAGATCACCAGATCTTAATCCACTTGATTTCTGCTTATGGGGTCACTTAAAAGCTTTGGTTTACTCAGTGCCGATTAATACTAAAGAGCAACTACGACAACGGGTAATTGACTGCTCTAATCAAATTCGTACAACGCCAAGGATTTTCCAAAGGGTACGCAGATCCTGGAGGAAAAGAGCAGGTATCTGTATTGAAATGAATGGTGGCCACATTGATCAATAACTTTAAATAAAAGAGTCAGACTGATATGATAAAAAAATACGGTACTTTCCATAATAGTAATAAAATATTTTTCTCTTTAATTTCTCACTCTTTTATTATTTAAAATAATTTCGGCGCTTCTCTTGTTAAACAGGGCGATTTGGTAATTCTAAATTGAAATAACCACGCCATAATTTTCATAAATTTATGTTGATTAACCTGTGAGCAACCCGTCAAAAAATAAATACATACTTGTTTTTCAAATACTGGTTTAGTAAAATGTTTGCCTTCAATTTTCTCGAAAACCATTGCTTTAAGCGACTTGCAATAAGAGTACCTTTTTTATGGAAAAAAGGTAGTAGTTTTAAAAAATAGACCCATGTTGTAAAAAAATCAACCCCTAAAAAGTTAATCATAAATCGACCCCTTACCCTTGCAAGAACTACCCTTTCTGATTAAATAAGTAATTTTGCGATATTACCATTGGATTCAGCAGTAACTTTTATGTCAGAAGTGAAGTTTTATCGTGTTTTTTAAGCTTACAATTTCAAAAAAACCACTTTCCAAGTTTGCCCTATTGACTCCCCTAAATCCCTTAATATGCATTTAACGACCCATAGTTATAGGAACTTTTTTTACTAGTTTTAGGAGTACTATCACCTGCCGAATTTTTTTACACTATTTCAATGATACCCTGTATATTTAACTGTTCTTTGATTTTTAGGTATTACAAAATCTTCTGTAGTAACCCAATCTCATTATCCTTCTACTGCATCACCTCAACTTCAAAACAAGATTTCCAATCTTCCAGTAGATGCAGAAATCTTATCACCAGGCTTTCCAGGAGTAGTACCACAACAGCCCCTTGCTAAGGTGCCACAAACCTACGAAAAAGTACAAAGCTTTTCAAGTCCTCAGCAAAATAATCAAAATATTGGCCAATTTAGGAGTCCAGGAGTAAACGAAATACAATCAGATAAGATTGAAGAAACTTCTGATAAAGAAAAAGAACCACTCAACGGAGGGATACAAGGTCCACCAAGTACCAAAGAAGAGCTTGTTCCTTATACTGTTGAACAAACTCATAAAAATGCTGGTAAGCTTCAATCAACCTCTGAAATTCCTTTATCAGGCAATTTGCCAGCATCTACAGGCGTCCTGCCACCAAGTAACTTGGCACGTTTTGGTAACGTTGATACCCCAGCAAATGATAATCAATATCCTGGTGAAACAGCTAAAGGTGAAATTAATAATGTTGAATTAATTCCAAGTAAAGGAAATAATGAAAAACTAAATAAGGGTAAGAAAAATTTATAAATGTAAAATCATTAGAAATCTTTAAGAACCCTTAAGAACTCTTAACCCTCTATGGCACAATGCTACTTCAAAGTAACATTCCCATTTATATTGTATATAAATTATTTTCGCGCCTTTATGATGAAATGGTACAACTCTACTTTAAGGTAACAGTATACTTTAGCTGATAAAGACATTTGTTTCGTCACATGTGTGCGGTAACGACGTTTTTCGTGCGTAGTCATTTCATGTTATAGGATGTGACTAGAGTTGGATTAGTTTCAGAAAATATTTTCTGTTTTATATTGAAGTAAAGGTTATATATTTTGTACAAATGATATTTTTATGGAAATTACAACAAAATTACAGCTAATTAAATGTTTATGTCTTTCAAGTAACAGTGTACAATTATATACAAAACCAAAACCATGTGGTTGTCCTTTGAATGTGCTTAATAACGAGGTACCTCCTAGTTACTGATTATTCATGTTTATTGCATATCATATATTCGGCTGTTATAGTTTATAGAAAAATAAAATGGAACCTGCTATGTTTTATGGGCGTAATAAATAACCATTGCCGAGCCTGTAGATGAGAGTGAAGATGACTTGGCAGCATAAAGTGATGAGGACAAAGAACAGTTTGTTCCTACTTCAGATTCATCTGAAAGGTTTGCTGACGATTCGGACACTGATGATCTTGTATGCTAACAAGAATAAACAAAAAGCAAAGAGGCGATCCATTTCCTGGAAAAAAGTGAGAACTATATCTGCTTTACCCGAATGGAAAGGTCAGCTACCGCACTGGGAGTGAAAGAACCAGTTGACTACTTTAGGATCCTTATTGACAATATTACGCTAAGGCTTATTGTAGAGCAATCTAATATTTACGTCATTGAAGTCAATCCTTATAAACCACTAAATCTTAGTATAGAAGAGTTGGAACAATTTATTGGCATTGGTTTTTACATGTCAATATTTTCATTACCTAGAACACGATGTCGTTACACCGCTGGGAAGCAATAAAGAAGTTCCTGCACTTCAACAATAATGAAAATTAGATTCCACCAGCACAACCTGATTGCGACAAGCTGTTCAAAATTCATTCTTTTAATACAGGGTTGCTCGCAAATCTGAATAAAATTTCCATGGACAAAAAATTGTGCGTTGACAAACAAATCATTCCATTCAATGGAAAAAGTAGCATAAAACAGTATGATCCGAGAAAACCTAAACGATGGGGGTACAAAGTATTTGGTATTTGTGATTAGAAAGGAATAGTATATAATTTTGAAGTATATACCGGAAATATATCTCCAGTCCAAGACCTTCCTGATATTGGTGCGAGTGGGAATACAGTATTGAAACTTGCTGCAATTATTCCAAAAAGTATGGACTTCAAATTGTATCACGACAATTGGTTCTGCAGTATAAACCTCCACGTAGAACTTGAAAAATTAGGAATATGTACACAGTATTGCCACAGCAAGAGAAAAAATGATAAATGACTGCAATTTTTCAAGTGACAGCGCCCTAAAGAAGAAAGGAAGGGGCAGCTTTGAAGAGAAAGAGGCAAAGGTAGAATATAACGGAAATATTTAGTATTACTCTAAGGTCGGTGTTAGTTGGTAACCTCCTAAATTTTGTATATTATTATTTAGAATTTAGAAAACCGTTAAAAAAAAGGTTAAAGTTTTCTCCTAGAGCTTAGAGAAGAAGACTACTTCAGCTTGCTGTCGGGGGGACAGAAGGTGTGGGTCATTAAATAGTTAGTAATACTGATTATCCTTAAAGTTTTAGTAAATAAAACGCAAGAGTCGGTATTATGGCATTTACTATTTTTGAAAAATACGTGTTCTTATAAAATTTCACTGTTGAATTGTCTAAAAGGTAGATAGGTATACATTTACCTGGAGCACTTTTAAAACTAACCTACCTAAATTAGAGACTTCCAACAATAGGATCTCTATGGCTTTACTACCGATATGATACAAAATGACAAGGTAAATACTTAAAGTTAAAGACAAATTCTCTGAATTCAAAATTATTAGAGTAAAATAAATAATTAATATTATCCCTGCTTACAGCAGGTTAGGCTTAAGCACATAATTATTCTTATAAATAAAATTTAAACGATAAATCGGAATATAAATTACTAGTATCACTGAAGTTATTAGACTGAAGGTCTTTCATACCTTGGTTTGCAGATTTTCAGATACCTGATTTCTGGTAGAAATCCATCAAGTGATGGAACTCTCCACCACTGGTGTTGGTTACGATTACCCCGGACAGGAAACTGACTTAAAACTTGCAGGACTGCAGGACATCAAATGAACAAAACAGGACTTAGTAATCACATCGCATCACCCAGGTGCGTCTGGAATATCTGGAACACTGGAACAGCGGTTGCGGACGGAATCCAACGGGGTTGTTGACAACAATCCTCTGGAGGTTTGATACAGGCAGTTGGTGGTGCTGGCCGTTAACAGGCTTCGCTCATCGCGGTCGTAATAATCCCAAAAATAATGGATTAGCGTACCAACCCCTGTGCGACACAGAAACGTGTTTAACAACCCGATCACTATCGGCGACAAACGTATTGGTTTTTCCCACGTGCTTTGCGACGACCCTCGACTCACATGGCCAGACGAACAGTCACCCACGTACTTCCGGTATCTTTCCCAATGAAAAGACGGAAAATAATTTACCTGGAACCTCATGGCTACAGCTATTTAACCCCTTTTCCAAAAGTCAAGATGGCTTCACCAAGGAGGATATGACCATACATATTTTGGAAATCACATTTCTGGTGATCGCCACAAGTTACCAGAAAACTTATCTAAATTAATCCAATTCGACCCCAAATGTATTTATACATCCTAATAATAGTATATTAAATATTATTCTTAACTAGAGTTAAGTATTAAAACTAATTTTTCTAGAAATGCACCCTTATATAACATGACGTCATGGACAATCAATGGTATTGATTTCAAATAGCACAACACTAAATATTCCCTTAGTGTTATCTGCCAAATTCGTATCACGGAACAAAAATTGGCTTTAGGACCGTACAAACTAGATGACAGTTATTTCCTAGAAAGAAGAAGATAACCCGAATTTCGATAATTAATAATGTCAAAACATTGTTGAAATAAAATTGAAACAAACGTGAAATACAACTAAATAGTGATATAAAAGTAATGAAAACTAAGTGAAATAACTACCATATACTTTCAGGTAATGATGCTACACATTTTCTGCTCATAAAACCATCAGGATCTTTAAAAAAAAAGTAAGACAACATAGAAAAGTGCAATGAATTGAATCATATTAAAAGTTTAATTCAAAACAAAGCATTGCCTTTTTAAAATGCTATGTATTAAGAATATGTTTTAAATGCCTGTATCCTTTAAATTACCAAAGGTTTTTATTCAAGACAAATCAACACTTTATTAAAAGTTAACATTATTTATACTAAGAATGTGTTTTAAATGCCCATATCCTTTAAAATAACCGAAGGTTCTTATTCAAGACAAATCAATATTTTATTAAAAGTTAATATTCTTTATACTAAGAATGTGTTTTAAATGCCATACCTATTTAATTATTCTAAAACTAAAATCAACATGTAACAAGATGGAGTGAAGTTGCTAGCCGTCAAGTGGTATGACAATAAAGGAGTAACACTTTTGCATCAGCTCATCCTGTGACAAATGTTGAACTATGGGATAAAAAAGAGAAATAAAAAATTGTTGTATCCAGGCCATCGGTGGTAACTTTACAACAAACACATGGGAGGTGTTGATCTTGTAGATTCTTTGCTAGCTTTGTACTGCATTAAGATTCGCTCCTGAAAATGGTACCACCAACTTGTATTTCATATATTTGACTAAGCACTCGTTGTTTCCTGGCTACTGTATCGCTGTGACGCTGACCAATGTTTACTCCCAACGAAGGAACAGTTTAGCTTGCTTGAGTTCAAGGCAAATCTGGCAGCATGTCTCTTCAAAGCGAACAAGGTAGCAACAGTCAAAAGTGACAGTATAGGACACTGGCCATTATTTTGCGAAAAAAGAGGACGTTGCAAAATGCCCGACTGTAAGGGTGTACCAAAAGTTATAAGTACAAAATGTTCGGACACCGAAAACTAGTTTTTGTGTTTTACTCCCGAAAGTAACTCTTTTGTTAACTTTCACACACAGTAATAATTTACCTAATATGTATAAAAATGTAATAATATGTTACTTGTTTCTAAAAAATAAATCTGAAATACCAAAACATTAGTGCGTAGACTAGAAAATGTTCTAGTTTACATGTGCACATTGTTACTTGGAAGTCACAACCATCTTGCGCAGCGCTTTAATGCGCAAATTTTATTTTTAACATGTGTAAAGGCTGTTTTAAATTATTTTCAAACTAAACTAAATACAAAATAATTTTTCGTAGCACGTAGCATAATTCGTACTACAGAGGGTTAAGAATTCGTAAGAACGTTTAAGACTTCCTTGAAAATCCTTCAGATTTATTTAAAATCCTGATTAATCGTTAAAGAGCCTTTAAAATTATCACTTACAATCCTTGCGAATTGTTATTAAATTAATATTATTTTACAGACAAATTTGGTCGCTTGCTAGCTCCACCATTTGGCACATCAGGACCTAATCCTCTGTTGCAACCACAAGAAATATCTCAACTACCTCCAATCATGGTATCAGACAACACAATTCACGTCATGGGTAAAAAACCCTTCGACATACCAATCAAGGACAAATACACAGGAATGACGGACGGTCTCCCTGATGGTGTAGAACCAAAGGATGTCACAAATATTTTATATAAGTTCAAATATACAGTCGGGTTCCACGGTCACTACGAAAGAGGTTTAAAGGATGGTACGAAGATCGGTGGGTACTTCGTCAACGGAAGAGATGGAATTAGTAGGGTTGTGACGTACGTGGCGGATGAAAATGGTTATAGACCAAAGTTTAAATTCATAAACCTTGGTTTGGATTCCTCCGATACTCCTAATGAGAAAACGGAGAAAACTTTCGGATTAAAAGATTTCGAATTCGTTTGGTATCCGATTGAATAAGAAGATTTAAGTTAGGTTAAAATGTAGTTTTAAAATAAAGAACTGTCAAATTTGTATTTATAAAATATTCGTATATATGCAATAATAAATTATTATAAGAAATTTATTGTTATTTTAGTTCAATAACGGTAACAGTAACAACTGCTAAGGTAAAAAAAGTAGTTATTTGGTAATGTTCATGAGAAGTTTGATCAATTGTGTTACTACTCGCCTTCATGTAGGGTACATCGGCCTTCTTGGTAAAAGAGTCAGCAATAACATATTAACATTTTTATTTGAGGATTATCTGAAGACTGAGACATTCTAGTAGTGGGGCTAATATAGTAGGTGGTATGTACTGAGATAGTATTTGTCTACTATCGCTAGAGGAAAGTTGCCTAATATGGGATACTTTTTCTAATCATTGGAAAAAAATTAGTTGAATTTCAATGGATTTTTGAATACATTACATTTTTTTACCAAGAATAACAGATTAAAAAATTAAACTGAAAAAGAATCTATATTCAAAAATCACAGTATCCCATATTAGAATCACGTTTATAATGTGAATGTAGTGTACCCGGAATTTGGGGTACCTCTATATTAGGGTTATAATTCCAAAAAACAAGTTTTTATTAATAAAATGTGATATGTTGGTTTATGGGGCGATCTAAAATATCTACTGTATACACTTTTGTCACTAGTTCTCCAAGGAACTCATCTCGATGCCTATAATTCCCCTTTCAATCTTATCTTATTAAGGAAGTGTAGGAATTGGAGTGGCTCCAAGTTATGTAGATAACCTTCTTCTATAATTTTTTTTTTATTTCTGAAAAGAAGGCAAGCTCTTGGATTCTGTGAAGAATCACTGACTATCAACTTACCAGAACAGTTTCAAAGGCTACTCATTCAGCCGACACTGGAAATCCAGGATTACTGAATAAACGCGATGTCTAGTTGTCTCCTTGGCAAACCTCCTGCCAAGGACATATAAAGCTGCTTTGGCGTGTATGAGATTTACTTGAAGCAAGAGCATCAGATTGCCCATTGTTAATTAATGGGGGATTGGGGGAGGGGATTGGGGGAGGGGGTGGTGATGGTTAAGAATCTTCTTTGTCACTTTCAATTTCAATAGAATGATCAGGAACAGAGTATTCAGATGAAAGTCTACTTAATTCAGGACTATATATACCTGATACATGCCCCAGGATGAAATGCTAAAGAAGTACAGTTTTGTAAAAAACTTCAAAACCACAGAGCTGTGCTGCAAGAAAGAATGGAGCCAAGAATCCATCGCGCTTGCAACCGAAAGACATACAATTCAGTGGTATACAAATGGTTCCAAAACCATAAAAGGAACTGAAATAGGAGTGTATGGGCCGAGAACCAAGAAATCCCAAAGCTAGGGAATATACCCAAGCATCTTCCAGGAGAAAATTCACGCCATCGAGAAGTGTATCCAGTTTAACATCGAGAGAAACTATAATAGACAAGAGATTATCATCATGTCCGATAGCCAAGTAGCCATCAAAGCGCTGAGCTCTTACGTAATCAGCTCAAAAATGATCTGGATTTGTCTAGCACAATTGAATTAGCTAGGCGGCGAGAAAAATAGAGTTACTCTCACTTGGGTCCCGGGACAAAACGGGATACAGGGTAATAAGATTGCAGATAGTCTTGCAAGGAAAGGGGCTCAAACACCCTTGGTAAGACTTGAGTCGTTCTGCAGTATCAGCAGTAACATAATATTAAAAGAGATTAAAAAAGAATTGGGCAGTAGAAGAACCGATCTTAGGGCTGAGATAGGCTATGATACTTCTGAGTGAATATTACCAGAAAAGATCGGAAGCCTGCATGTGCCTGAGCAAGAGCAGGCAAGAACAGGGATCCTGACTGGCATTGCCGACTAAAAGGACACCTTAGTAAACTGAGAGTAGTAGAAGATAGTGAGTGCAGATTATAACAGATTGTATAATCTGGATGTCTCCTTTTCCGAACGATGCCACTTTTTATCTTTTTATACGTCATTTCCAACTGGAAAAAATCCTAAAAGTTACCTACTATTAAAATTACCAATTCACATCACACGCACACTTGCCCAGCTTCGTTTAAGTAACAAATATCAGCTAAAATTCACTGTAAATAACATTTTGTACACAATAGATCCCAAAAGTATATGTACAGTGTGTAATAAGGCGGAAAACGAAACTCTTTTACATATTCTTTTTGAATGTCCGATTTACAATGTTATGAAGCCTAAAATTCAATCACTTGAAAATATAAATGCTCTTATTGCAACACTAGAAAATTTGACCATCAATGATGCTAAGTATATTTACTCATATATTTGTAACATATTAAAATTGAGATCATTTATTTTGAACGAATAATGTATTCTAGTATTCTATGATTATTTAATATATTTTTTTTTTTTTTACTTTACTTTTAGCTCAATTTGAATTATGTTTATGTTACTGTGACTACACTCAAACTCTTGCTGTAACTTTGTATAAGTTGATAAGCAATAAAAATTATTATTATTATTATTATTATTAGTGAGTGCAGATTCTGTTAGAAGGAGGTGGACGAAACCTCCGTTTACATTCAAATTGATTGTGGAGCACTTCAGAATCCAAGGGCACTATACCTAGGAGGATATCAAATAGAAGAGGGAGATTTACCTAACTTAAAGCTATTCCAAATCATACACTTCCTTAAGAAGATAGGATTGGAAGGGTCATTATAGGCATTGACGCATTTCTTTGATGCATTAGCGACAGAATGGGTTGTAGTGTATTAACACCTCATTCCTAACTTAACATGACACTTCAATTTTTTATGTTTCCCTAACCAAGAAAACTAAAACCAGTAACGTGTTAACAGCCTTCTCCTCCATAGTTTATAATAAAACCGATGTAAGACTGGTTGGTCAGAATGCTTTAGTATGTGTACGTTTGCCCTACTTTTAGAATCAAGGAAACTCCGGCTCTTGTCGATTATTCTGGTATATATCCAAGTTCCAGACTGCTCCATGATATCCGAATTATAGCTGGTAGTAATTCGTCCTGTGTCCGCTGAAGCAGGGCAGCAAATATTTTATTCACACCTGAAATGGTTTAAAAGTTTTCTTTGCCCACTTTAACTGATTTATACTGCTTATATGTTTGGCCACAGTTGAAGTATCTTCTAGGGTTTACTTAAGGTACATGTGTCTCTTTTAAGATAAGGTATTCTCCCGGAGAAGTGAGTTTTGGGTAAGAAGCGAGTTTTGCTTAGACCTCACTCTACGTAAAAAATCCATTTGGTTTAACTAAAGCTGTAGCAGCATTAACTCTTCCTTTTACCAGGGCCTTAAATAGTCTCACTGCGGCAGGTGTAGAGTTAATCTCCTCGTAGAATTTCCTGGAGCTATTGCATTTAGCTTTCATAATTTCTTTATTAAAGGTGGTAAGTACCTCGTTGTTGCTTTGGCAATTTGCGCTGTACTTGGCCCACAGTTTTCGCACTTTAGATCATAAGTTTTTCAGATTACTGTTCCATCAAGAAGCATTCTTACTAATCCTGTTTGTCTGAATGGGGCATCTTGAATCATTGTCACATTTAATTCTTCGAGATCGCTTTCCAGAGATAGTGGGTGCCTGGGCTCAATTTTAGTCTGGAATTTTGTTTTGGGATGATGTTGTATTTGTGCTAGTCTGCTTTTCTAGGATTCCTCCTAAGGATCGTCTCAGGCGTGTCGTTCCCTATCTCAAACACAATTATAATTGATCAGATAGAGATTGTTTACTAGGTACTCTTCAGTTTGTAAATTAAATCTTTAACAATCGGTGTACTTGATGTGATATCTAATATCTCACTTCATCTCCTTGTTGCAAATATGAAAGTATTCTCAATATTGTGCAAAATACGGTTATTATAAAAATATATTCTAGAATTTGTTCGCTTCTTTAATTGATGTCGTTGCTTGCTTTTCCGGCAGTGTTCCACTAACCTCATTACTTTAGAGGGTCGTGCAGGCCCATCCCCTGTGCAGTAACAAAAAGCTATTACAGTGTTTTACCGCCTTATTCAAAATTCTAGGCATGCTTGAATTGGGACGAGATTCCGTACTATCAATTCTGCAAGAAAGGAAATATTTTATATTGTTTCCTATCATGATATATTTTTCTGTATACTTCATCACTACCATGATATATTACTTTTGTATCTTTACATACAAGTCCTCTCATCTGGCGTTAGGAAGAATACGGTTCCTGGATTAGTACGATCTTCGATTGGTCCTTGTTAAATGGATATTCACTTGGATATTGTTAAGGGGCTCCTCTAGTTTCTCGGTTGTGTTTTTTACGGCTTTTTCAATAATTTTTTACGGGCAAACCATCAAAATAACAAATCTCATTGTTTTTACATAATCTTTATTAACATTTAAATTTTTTGAAAACAAAATATATAATAGAATCAAAGTTATAGTGGCCGACAGAAAGTGAAAAAGGTGCTTGACGGTGACCACGATATTTCAGAAATTACTGTACCGATATTGTTCACATTTATACGACATCTTTAATATGTTACAAGCCAACGATTGAACTAGGATTATCATGATTGCTTTGATAGATTCTTTTCTACGAGCGAGAAACTTAAGAAAAAATGAGTAAAACATAGAATTTAATTTCCAAAAGTGTATAAAAAATTTAATTTTTGTAATTTAAAATTCATTCCGGTTCAATCGCTAGTCTTAAATATGAAGATTCAAATGCTGTTTGGGTTTTTGATTTCAGATAAGTAAAACAGCCGCAATCTTGGTCACCGTCAAACATCTCCTTCACTTGATGTCTTCCTGTCGGCCACTATAACTTTGATTCTATTAAATATTTTGTCTTCAAAAAAATTGTGAAGCTCATTTAAATGTTGGTAAAGATTAGGTAGAAACAATAAGATTTGTTATTTCGATGGTTTGCCCTTAAAAAAATATTGAAAAATCCTTAAAAAACAACCGAGAAACTAGAGGACACCCTTTGCTCGACATTTTATTTTTCATGAATGAGGATGTCGTCCCCATTGATGAGGGTGCGTTCTTCTACTGCTTCTTCTTTGATTT